GTGGCAATTTTCCTGGCTTGTGCTTGAACAGAAACACAAAGAAATAAATTTTCAGCCTTTGATTGGTCAAGGTTAGCCCACACATCACAATACACATCATCCCTCAATATTTGACAAATTGGCTTTCACTTAAATATTCTAGACTTTAAAAAGCTGGAATAGTATTGCCCTGGACCTGAATAAACAAAGATAACTTTCCAAGATGAATCACAATCTAGAAGTAGGAAGAGATGCTTCCTTGTGTCTGTAGAGGGAGTGTGTTGGAGGGAAGATGACACTGGCTTTGGGGAATTAAGGAGTTGATAGAGAGCCATATCTTGGCTTCTTGCCCCAAAGACAATGACTACATGAAGGACAGGCAAAACCAACAGAAGTTCTGATCTGCCACATTCTCCCCCAGATGATCTCCCTTTCCTTTCCCCAAACTGCTTATTAATATTGGGCAATCCCCATCATCCATGCTATAAGGAAAGGACTCGAGACCAAGGCTGTGAATAACAGAGAACTGGTAACAGTACAACAGGTTACATGATATTCTTTGTTTTTATGGAAGTCAGCCCTTTCTTAAAGGGAATATAGCATTTCTACTATAACTGATAGTTTAAGATCTTAAATTAAATTGTAAGATAGAGGCTCTACATTTGTAATTGATATGTTAAAAGTTTCTGCCTTTGAGAGAAGCATTTATTTTGATAACAAAATGTGAGATCATACTGAGGGAAGTGGAGAGTAGTTATTTCCAAAATAAACATGCTAATTATTTCATAAAAATACAAGAATATCCAGCTTCCTTCACCTGTTCCTATCATAAAATTGTCACTGCAAAATTCTTACAAGATTTTATACAAGATTCACCCATGTTTTTCATTTAGATCTGTCTTTAAACAAGAACAGGACTGTCTAGCTCTGGAAACATGCACAGTATCTCTGCCTGTAATTTTTAACCATCTTTGATCCTGTTTCTTAGTAGACAAGCTGTTGTTGTCAACTCTCTTTGTTCTGCTTTGATGTATTCCTTCTCACCTTCAATTTTAAATGAGAAGAAGTACCTAGAGATTGTATGGCTAACTACATTAGACTATATGTAGGTTGCAGCAGTAAAACATTATCGTATGTCTAGCAAACTCTTGTATGAGGTCATCCCATCCAGAAATACATATATGCACATAGAGGACATACTCAACATCTTTCTTTTCATAGCCTTCCTCAGTTGTCCACAGCAGCTTCATAAGCAAACAAGCAAAAGAAAAACAACTGAGAAGTTATAAATGCTCTGGCACAGGGTGCCAAGTGGTTCCAAAACATAGCGCTTTTTTTTTTTTTTTGGGGGGGGGGGGGAGGGGTGGGGGGAGGATGCAGTTAGGAACTGTCAGACTCATTTTGTAAAACAAGACTTTGCCTGTTTTACACAAACAAAGCCTGCAGAACCATGAAAGATTTCCAAGGGTGCTGGCTATGGAAAACATGGGGCTTTTGCAGAATTAGGACAATTACCTAAAAGGCACAGCGTCTCATTTTTCAGAGATCTTCTGAACTTGGCATATGTAATGGCCTGTAAAAACATTGTTCCCAGGAAGGTTGAATCATAACACTTGTTCAGGATGGGTCATTTCAAAGTTTGTATGTCACAGTTTTGCATATAAGAATGCAGGCCCTTCTAATTTGGAATGCCTTTGCTGTTGTATTTTTGTATTGTACTCTCCCAAATGCTTATAATGGGAGCTATTATAATTTAAATAAATGACTGCAGTTGTATCCAGAAGATGCATCCTGGTACAAATCTGTCCTAAAATGCTCTATAGAAAACCACTGGAAAGGTACATAGACTTTATGAGCCAGATTAATTGATGTGATGTGCCTGCTTTGTACTGCTTCTGTGAAGCAAATCAACTTTAAACACTAAGCAGCCAGATATTTAAATGGACTTGGCTTCACCAGAACTGCTCAAATAATGCAATAAATCCTTGTATAAACCTAACATATCTTATATCCTCTGTTTGTTAAATATATATCATTGCTGATGTTTGTTTTATAACAGCCCCTGTATGGTCTTGTGAAATCACAGTACTGTATATAGAACTACAGAACCATGTCCACACAGAATATAGGGAAGATGAACCTTTTCTTCACAAATTGGTATTTTGCCACTAAATTAACTAGATGAAAGAGTAGTCTTTAAAGTGTCATAAACAAAACAAAACAAAACAAAACAACAAGCCCTTATAACTATGGAATTCAAGCTGACATAAATATATCCAGCTTTTCTACTTCATCGCCTCCAATGATGATGTCAAGTCAGCACAACAGGAACATTTCATGATTACTTATCAATGGTAGTTTTCAGAAAATCCAGAAATATTGCTGGATATTGAATGTACCGATTAAAGGTATAATTTTCATTATTATTGTGATCATATTCTCTACTTGCCCTGTGCAAGTACATGAGAAATGCAAATTTCAGAAACTCCATTATAATTTTTATTGCTTATCAGAAGCCTTTCTTACCCTTGAAATATTTTAGTATAGAGACAAAACAGAGTAAACATGGTCAGTGTAATGAAGAATTATTGAATGGCAGAGTACAAATGCAGAATAAGATTGTTTATAAACAGGCCACTTTTTTATATTTATTGTTATCAAATCCAACTACAGAATGCAATAAGCTTTCTCTATATCTAACTTATATTTCAGTCACTAAGGTTTTCCTTGTTATTTTACATTCCCTTATTGCCATTTCAATAGAGAGAGACATTAATAAGTGTATAGGAGATAATCACTTCAGTACTAAAGACTGACAGGCACTGTATTTTGCTCAAGTTGCGGAATTCCAATTCCAATTATTCACACAAAATAAATATTCCATGCCACTTAAAAGCCTAAGTGTCTTGGAAAAACTTCAGCCTAATGAGCTACACTGGTCTCACTGGCCTGCTGGTGCAATTGGTCTTCAAAGAAACCATGCTGAATTGTACCAGATATGGACTCTTCCCTTTTTTTTTTTTTTCCCAAAATGTTTTTACATACAGCTGTGATTTTAACCCTGTGCTCTTTTTGTCATGTTCTTACTGTGGGCTGTTAAACAGCTTCTGTATCTGTCCAGAGATGCAAATCCCTATGTCCACTCCAAATGGAATTTGTAAATGCTTGAGTGCAGAATGTTCTAAATAAATGGGAGATACTGTCATTATTTAGCACTGCGGGAAGCATTTCAAAAGCTGAAATATCCTTGCCTTCAAAAGGCAGGCACGCTTTTAAAGAAGTGTGTGGTTTATTCTCATCCTTGTTTGCAAAAATTAATCAACATTTCTTCCAGTGGAGTTCAATGTTCTTCAAATCCATGCACTCTTCAGCCTATCCCCACATCCAGCCCTTTGTGTCAGGGTTGTTGTGTCGGGGGTTATCTGCTCAACCTATAAATCTGTGTGTCAAAACACAATCCATATCAGGAATTCTTTTTCTTTTTTTAAACATAAGTTAGCTTTTATTTCCAAGTGATTAAATAAATATCGTTTTGATTGCTTAAACTCAATATGTATTTTTATCAATTAGCTGGAAGCACAAAGATTACTTCTAAATTCTCTTCAGACCCTCTGTTTAACCAGTATATGTTGCAATGCTTGGCCTGCAGCACTTCTATTTTTAGCTCTGAAGGAACAGTCTTAAATTGCCTATTTTCTGTTTACTAAAGACATTGAGCTTGTTACCATGGAAACTGTGGCAAGTGCCACAGCTTAACTGTTTTATTAAATGGATTGAAGGCACAGCTGCAAAACTTGAAAGGCCAGCACGTCAATTTTATACATAGCTCAAACTGCTATACATTCCACATTATAGCAAGAGCTACATTAGATATGAGAAGCCAGAATCCGATCTTGGCTATAATCATATAAATCTTTGTTGTCTCTCTCTTCACTATCAAAAAATAATAAATAAATAAATACATAATAATGATAATAAAAAATTATGTGCAACCCAGATCAGGATCTGTTTTTGTCAAACTGCACTGCCTGTCAAGTTTTAGCAATTACCGCATTTGAATGGATAAATTGCAGATGATGTACACTAAACCAGTCTCCATTTATCACAAAGACACCATCTCACAGTTGTGCTTGCATGAAGCTTTTAGCACATTATCGTATTGCTTACAGCAATCACATTATTTTTGGAACCACTATATTCTGTTAGTATAAGAGGGAATTAAATCAAAACTAATGACCTTGTCAAATGAAACTTCTATAAAAAGTTACACTGGAAGAATTAACGCAAAACATTCTTTAAATCTTTAATTAGGCATTTGAACAAGAACACCCTGAGTACTAGAGGTGTTAAGAAATTACACCTTCTGTTCATTCCAGTACATGGTATGCTCCATATTTATGCAAAGTAGGGTACTTTTTAAATCATGCTTTAACTTGTATATAACACTTAAGTCAAACACTACCAAAAATTATTGAAAATTATTACAACTTTTATTTTATTAATTTTTTTGTGTGTGTGATAGAATATAAAACTTTGTAGGATCAGATTGATAACAAATATAATTGTTAACACAAACCTAAACATTATACAGCCCCCAAAAGAATGAGAGCTAAAATAAGAATAGTGATATATTTACACCCATAAATATTTAATGAATGATTCAGCCTGTTGTAAGAGAACCAAAAGCTCAAAGAATGTTTGACATTTAGAAGAATGGGGTTCTGCTTTCTTCACTAGTGTTGTGTTTGGAATGGTGTTTGCATTGCTACTTTTGACATTTTAAATATGAGATTTTTTGGAAGAGGTAATAATCTGATAAATTATTGAAAGATGTATTTCTTTCTGTGAAAATGCTCCTGTTTAATTTAAAGAATAGTGTGGTTGATGTTCAATCATTAAATTCAAAGAAATATTCTTCACTATCTGTTGGTGTAACTAGAATTACTGGAATGAAAAATAATTAAGTTTCCTTTCATTTATGCATTTCTTTCTTTTTTTTTTTTTTTTTTGTCTATCTGCAGGATCTACCTTCATCTGCAACACCCACATAATTCCAGTGAAAAATCAAGAGGGAGTAGCAATGATGTTTATTATTAACTTTGAGTATGTAACAGATGAAGAGAATGTTGCGTCTCCCGAGAAGTGCAACCCAATATTGCCATCCAAACTTGTAAATCGTAAGTTACCCATTGAAAGTTCTCTGCTTACCTCTACTCTTAGCATAGAGAATAATTAACTTGAGCAATATCAATAACAAAACAAAACAAAACAAACAAACAAAAATTCAGTGCAGTCACCATTGCCTGACTCATTTAAGATAGAATTCAAGACAGTAGAAAATAAAATTTAGCAAACCTGTTATAAAGTTAGTAAGATAGTCTATTGGATCTTTGGTAGTACAAACACCATTGATCTTATGTGTATTGCTAGAAAATAAAAATTCATTAAAAGGAAAACATTTTCACTGAAGTGCATTACCCTTGACAAAATGTTAATGAACGGAAAAAAAAAAAAAAAAGCATTATGATAGAGGCAAAATATTTCACCTTAACCTATTTTAAATGGAATATTTCTATTTTCCTTTCCAATTAAAAAAATAATAAGGTTTGGTTAACTTTGATTTAAAAATACAAAATAAATTAAAAAATATATATTTGAAGCAAAATTAAACATCTTGATTTTATCAAATTGAATTATTTGGATGGGCTTGAAGGATGTGGGTTTCTTTGGATATACAGGAAATGCTTTTGTTTTTATTCTACTTGTAAGTATTGTTAAAGTCAGAAATCCTTCCACAAAACAAAAGTCCTCTTCTTATGCAGTTAGACTATTTAGCTTTTTGTATATGTGGAATGTGTACTTTTTTTTGTTGACCTTCACTCTGTGCAGAAACAGCACATGATCTTTTCTGCTTTGCATCTCCACTCACATACTCCGCTCTTACTCCAGAATTCCCGGAACGCATCCCCATTTGTCTAAGCTCTTAGTAAAGCGCAGCATGATCTAACAGTGAATGTTAACGCTCTCCCCAGAGTCTGGCTGGCAAATACAACAGTTGGAAAATGCCTTTTCACACTCTAATAATCTTTAATGTTAGTATGATAAAGGGACCTGGAACCTAAATTTTCTGATAGTCAAATCAACACTTCAGCTTTCTCTAGATAGGAGACAAAGACCAACTTCACTGCAGGAACTGAGGGGAAAACTTTCCCAATGTAAGCACTAGGCACTACCTTAAGTGATGACATGCAGTTATTAGTTCAGTTATGTTGAGGAGATTGTGAGAAGCAGGGCTGCAGCACCGCATAACAGCAATACTAAGTTCCTTTCGATTAAAGCGGTCTCTGCTATTCTTCATAATACAGACTATCTGCGGTGTATTCTCTCGACAAAATGCATGACATCTCATTCAAAGCTCTGTGTGGTCAAAAAAAAAAAAAAAAATCCCCCTCCCCAAAATATTGCTGAATAATTCACATTTTTAAAAGATTCTAGTTTACTTCTATAATTAATGGTGATGGCCTATAAATAAGTAGTTACATTCAGTATGGAGAAAGAGCTCTGACCAAATCAATCTATATTGGCCAAAGTCATCCCAGTTACATCTGTTTAACTTTGCAGTGGCTGTAGATGTAAAACTATGAAAACTTACTACTACTGCAACCTAGCAGACTGCCAATAATTATTGTTTGTGAAATATCACAAGCTTTTAAAAAAGACTTTTTTAATATTCTTCATAATACATATTTTAATTTTTTTTATTTTATGCTTCCTTTCTGTATTCTGTTCTTTTTAAATGGTCATTTTTTCTTTATTCTTCCAGTAATTTTATGGTAAAAATACACTTATCAGAAGAAATAATCAATTCAATCAGGGAAAAAAAAAAAAAAAAAAAAAAAGAAGAAGAAGAATATACATATATATATATAACTTACACCAAGTAAACCCCACTCATATTCTCTTTCTATTTCAGGTTGCCACGATTTTGTGCATTTTCAACACTTCTGCTTTTAAATACAATTTTGTAATACAAATAATGTGGTACTATTTACAAAAATAATGTAACATACCAATTGGAAAAAAAAAAAAAAAAAAAAAAAAAAGAGCTTCAGGTCCTGAAAAAGAGCTGTTTTTTCTGCTGTGTACACTTTCAAGTCTTGACACTTGCCATATTTTAAAGTAAAAGCTGCTAAAGAGGACACCGGCAAAAAAAACACTTAGTCAAGACATTCTCTTGTTTTCCAGTAGTTATGCCTGACATGCACAGGGAATTTCCTTGCTGAGTTCTTTAAAAATGTATAGTTGGGGCTCCAAGTTTTCACAACTGAGAAAGTTCAAGGTTTAAAAGGAGGGAAAAAAGGTGACTCAAATCATTTTCCAGCTAGTGGGTTCAGCCAGATGCCAGAAACTGCCATAAACTAGAGCAGGCACATGGCTGCTCTTCCACCTAGTTGTTGTGGTCTCAGAGCAGACTGTTATGTGGGCAGGATGGTGACACAATTGCTACATAGCCAAAAATTCTTCTTGGCTGATAGGATTTGCAGGAGGTCAATCTATGCAAGTTATCCAGAAAAACTGGAGATGAGTACAGGCCAATGGTAGATTTGAATTAAAACAAACAAACACAAGACCTTGAAATACAGAAAATACAAGAGGCAGACCAGTGAGGCAATACAAGGAGTCACAAAAACAAAAAAACAAAAACAAAAAACAAAGTGAATCATTTCCTAGTAAAAAAACAACTTTTCCTTTCTTTTCCTTTCTTCTTCTCTTCTCTTCTCTTCTCTTCTCTTCTCTTCTCTTCTCTTCTCTTCTCTTCTCTTCTCTTCTCTTCTCTTCTCTTCTCTTCTCTTCTCTTCTCTTCTCTTCTCTTCTCTTCTCTTCTCTTCTCTTCTTCTCTTCTCTTCTCTTCTCTTCTCTCTCTTCTCTTCTCTTCTCTTCTCTTCTCTTCTCTTCTCTTCTCTTCTCTTCTCTTCTCTTCTCTTCTCTTCTCTTCTCTTCTCTTCTCTTCTCTTCTCTTCTCTTCTCTTCTCTTCTCTTCTCTTCTCTTCTCTTCTCTTCTCTTCTCTTCTCTTCTCTTCTCTTCTCTTCTCTTTTTCTTTAATTCAGTTGTGTTCCCACCATAAGAAAAGCAAAGAGCAGATTCTAGGATGAAGTTCATATTTCATCTTACTCTATTTAGAACATACAATGTCAGGTAAAGCAGGTGATCTGTTTTCATTGGATGACACACAAAATGGACAGTAATGGGCACTGGTTCTCAGGGGGAAAACAAAAGAAAAGAAACAAAATCCCTTCAAATCCAACAACCAATTTAGAGAATAAAAATAGAGAAGGAACCAGCCATATAACAAGTGCAATGCATCTCTGACAATCGACCAAGATAAGCAACAGCTAATGACAAAAGACAAAAGATTTCAGATTGCATTAGCATCTACCACCCAGAAGGACATAGATCATGAAAGATTTCTTTCCAGAGCTCGTTGATTGAGTTTTCTCATATTAGAGTGTCTTTTCAACATGAGAGGAAATAAAAATGACTGAGTCAGATTGCAGGAGAGAAGAACTAAGTGTACGGGAAACAAAAAAAATCAGTTATTTTCCTGACCCTAGAAAATAAAATAACTCTTCCATACTACCATTCCTCTTCTAATTGATTTATTAAGAGTTGACATCAAATTTATCAAGTGCAACTTTGAAAACTTTTCCTTTTTCTAAAAGCATCTGTCCTGCCAGTTGCAGACAACCATTTTGAACAAGACCACTTATCACAGTGCTCCTCATGTTGAAATCTGATACATTCTAAGAAAAAGCATTTCATGCCATATACACAGTTCATTCTGGTTTTGAAGGTTGCTACACAGAAAAGAAGGATTACAGTTTGTTAAAGTGTTCTGTGAACAAATTAAAGACCAATGGAAGGCAGCTGACATTTACTATATTGAGCAAAGAGGCTGTATTTAGTCTTGGATGGGCAGAAAACTGAAAATTTACCAGCTGAATACTAAAAAATATTTTAAACAGTGTTCAAAAATTGTTTGGGACTGGGATCCTGTCTTTTGTTTTGTGCCAGTCTGATGGCTAACAGAGCTAAATTCTGCTTCACCATTGGGCCTGGCAGATAATGATAGATTATTTTTTCAAAAGTAGGCTAAATTTCCAGGAGTTTGATGACCACATCTAGTATAAATAGAATTCTTTCTAGTCTGGTGCTCAAGAGCTCTTATCTCATATGCAGCAAAAAGCTGAATAGGCAGTAACATGAAAAGTGAAGATATTGGTTTCGCAATAGCAACAAAAAAATCCTTTCAGCTGATCCTTTTATTCCCTTTATTCCTTGCAAGAATTTATCGTCAGTTCTCTATGGCAGTCTGACCAGTGTTTGCATAATGAAATAGCTAAATTTTGAAAAATCCTGGCATGCCAGGATTCATAGCCAACTGATTTTTCACTCTTTCACTGTTTCTGCATTTTGCCACAATTCTGCTTTTCAATGCATGCTATTTCACTAAGAAAACAAAGGAAGTTTTTCTTCATATGTCTCCTTTTTTTTTTTTTTAAAAAAAAAAAAAGTCATCTTTTTGTTTAAACTTCTAACCAACTTAAATTAATGCTCTATCTGTCCAATCATTATATTCAGAGAAGTAAGGAAATTTCTTCTGTCAGTACTTAATGCATAACTGAACAACATCCTTCTTTCCAGTGAGGGTGTTTCTGCACAATGTGCAGTTGTGCAGTTAAGGGGAGACTAACAGAAACTGATTTCTGCTATAGATGTCCATTCATCATCCAATTATTCTGTCTAATATTTGTCTCATTTGCAGATATGAGAATTCTATTGATTCTTACTTCACAGATTTAATGAGTTCATTGCTTTTTGTGTTCTTTTTTCTTAGAACATGTAAATGTTTTATAATTCCAGAAATTAACTTCTGTAACCAAAGAGAGAGACACTTCATAACTTTATCCCACCTCACTATTTTTGTGAAGTGCTGGAAGACATCAATACATTCTTGTTAGGTGACTGTATATTTGTTTAGCCTGTTAGAGCATTAAAATCAACATTTTGAGCTACATAGGCCCTAAAAAATTGTTTTCATTCTTATTGTAACAGTTAGTGCTTATGGGCTGTTTCCTGCCACAACTGATAAGCTAACATTTGCCTGATTGTCACTACAATGGTAAGAATGAATCCCAAAATTGTTGGTCATAAGTTTTCATGAATCAAATCATTTGACAAAGTTATTTTCAACTCCTACTGAAATAATTAGGTAGGATATTTAGCAAGACATTTCCAGAGAAAGAGAACCTGCTCCTGTTAGTTTCCCTGTTTAAAAGAAAAACAGTCCTTTCTGTAGATATTCTAGAATGGACTAGTTCAAGAAGATATATGATTATATACCAGTTTAGCAAAAAGCCTGTGTGAACACTTACATTATCATTTAAATTTAAGTCTACTAGTAATAGTTGCTAACCAAAATAGTCCCAAAATGAGATAAGAATTCCTGTAAAGTGTGTTGTACAGACTTCATTAAAATATTTTTTCAATAAAGTGTTAAGCTAGGATAGCTTTTGCATATGAATGTTGCTTTTAAATCATCCATTGAGGAAAGAGAATGTAAGTGTCCAATTTTATTCCCAAATCTGTCAAACATTCCAGTCTGGCCTGCTCATATACTCCATCAATTTGATCATGAATTTTTACAGAAATTTAAGGAGCCAGTGGCATGAATTAATATTTGCTCCTGGCATTTGATTCTGTTCTTCACAGCTGTAGAATATTTTGTGTCTGTAAAGCTAGTCTAGTAACTGCAAAAGATCAAAATCAATCATGACACAGAATGGACACAGAGAAAATCTCCAGCCATTTCCCACTGACAGCATGCCATAGATCTGAGGGCTGACTTCAATATGAAGAATGTAACTGCAATTTTTCTACTGAGTAGACCCTTTGTGGGATTGTAATGTACACACACGTGCACAAGACGAGAAAAAACTCTCAGAATCCTAGTTCTGAGCTGTTTTCATTCTCTGCCCCACCTAGAGCACGCTGGTTTTTTAATGACTTGTAAGCACTTTTTCTAACATTTACTCCAGACCTTTCTAAAAAAAAAAAAAAATCCTTCTAATACGTAGGTTAAAATAACCACAGTTAGATAAGATAAATGAATAAAACTTGTGTAAAATTAGCTTCCAAACTTTTTGACTAGTTTGAAGTACTAACCTAAAAGCAAATATTGGTTCCCCAATACATTGCTCATTACCTCATGGGAGAAAGCCCCAAAAGTTATTTGATTAAGCACATAATTGCATTCTGCCAAGAATGGTTATTTGGGGATTCCTTTATCATTTTATCCCTTCAAAATCTATAAGCCTATTAAACACCCTGGAATAATTTTTTGTATTTCTTCCTCTTATGCAAATGAGAGGATCTGTAATACATCCAGTCAATGCCTACTTTTTGGATCAAGTTCAAACAAAATGAAAAGGCTAATAATATTCTAAAAACAGCTTAAAATATTATTAGTAATGATTAGTAAAACTTCTCAACCAATGAGATCCTTAACGGTGCTTATACTCGAAAAATTTGTCTCTGTTCTGGTCCTAGCAATGGAGCTACATGTCAGGAAGGATGCTCACTGCAGTCACTGAAGTTACAAATAAAACAAGCACAACTGAAATTGAGATCAGGCCTTTTCTTTAAGTAAAAGAGTTAATTCAAAAACAGATACATTGTTTCTCCATGCAGAACACTGCTGTATGAGTAAGCATAGCAATTTAGTGAGAGTTAAGCATATATTTATTTTCTAAACAAATTTGGACAACAAAATTGTCATGAAATATTGTATACTGTCTGATGCACAGGCACTTGCCACATTGAACATGACATGTATAAGCAATAGTAACCCCCTGACTTTGCCCAAAATGTGATGAGAAATGTGTCTAGGGTCTTATTTTTAGCTGCAACACTGGGAGCAAATTCATCATAAGTGAGGGCTAGTCAAGAAAAAGTGTGTCCAGGAGGACAAAGGTTTCTATCTAGCCAACCAGCAGCATAGCTCTGACAACCCAATGTCAATACGTGTATTTGTCTCCAAGGTAAATTACAGGGAATGCTAGGTGAACTGAGGCAGTGTGGAACACTTAGCAAAGGAATATAGCCAAACAGCTATCAGCAGTAAAGGACAGAAGGTCCTTTGGTACCTTCACCTTCAGAGTACTCCACAAATACCTAATTAACAGAATGCTCATTAAGATAAATAAATTGTATTAAGTCTTGTTTTACGGACAGAGAAATACAAGTGCGGTGGCTAAATTTCCTTTCCTCATGGTGGTTATTTTTGGGATTCAGACTAGAAAGGAAGCCTCACTGTATTCTAGTCACTGTAATTAGCTGTTTGCATTACAGCCTCTCCCAGCTAGGATCACAGCCCTATTGTGCTGTATCTTATACAAACATTCAATAAAAGCAGGCAATCTCTGCTTAAAGAGATTACAAACCAAACAGAGGGAATGACACAGCCTTCAGTGGAGGTGACTTGTGCAGCCTGGATGACAGGAAAAGGAACACAAACTGACAATAAACAAGCTGCGCAGAGACCTTGCAAATTTTCCTTTTGCTATGTAAATAGATAAGTAGTAAGTATGAGAAGTGAGCATGAAAAGGATTCCTGGTTTGAACTAGATCCAGGAGGTCTCTTACAGTCCTATATTTTTAGTAGATGTCCTGTTTGTTCTTTTCAAGGATATTGAAAACAGGTGGGTTCTGTGAGATAACTTGAAGGCCAGGATAATGATTTTACAAAATCATCCCATTATAATACATGCCCTCAAAAACGTATAAAGGTAGTCAGTTTTGTATCATTCTCTGATGGAATAACTAAATTAAGACATATTTCTCTATTATTCATAATAAGAATTAGTACAGAGAACTTAACACATCTATGCATTTTGTTAAATTGAATTAGATATTTTAATCTTGAAGAAAGAAATTAACATTTATCAGCATATCTCAAGCTTAGACTAAAAGTACTACTAGGTAGGAAAAAAAAAAAAAAGTTGGATTTGAAAAAAAGGATTTGAGAAGCTCTCAGATGGAATATAGTTACAAGGAATATGTTCTGTTATTTAAGCGATTCAACATGGAGGAGATGATATTTTTAGGTAAGCAAACAAAATAAATCTATAGATAAAAATGAGGAGCTTTACAACCATTGCATCTTATTTCTCATATGTAGAATTCCTACCATGATTACTTGACTCTATTAATGAGCACAGTACACAGACAAGCCGGGCATTTCAAAGACCTGAAAACAATTGGCAGAGACATGAGATGTGTAGTGAGAAGAGTTCATCCCATGAAGAGATGAAATAAGTGAGCCCTGCCAGGGATATGAAACTTCTCTGAGGTCAAACTCTGAACAAGTGTCAGTGAATAAAGCATATTCTCCCTAAGGAGATTTTGAATTATTCAACTTTTTAGTAAATTTCTTCCAAACAAAACAGGCATTTCCTAGAAAAGACGTGCTCCATAAGAAATAAGGTTTCTGTTTCATGAGAAATAGCACATTGGTCTGGATACATCTACTTTAGTTTTCTGTCTGTATTAGCTAACCTTAAAACTTGGTAATTGGAAATATATATTGATCTATGTTACAAAACTGAGTAATTATCCAAATACTTCTTTATGGAGTAGTTCTTAAGTTTTCCAAATAAAAAGGCAATGTACTTTTACTTCTGCAGATTACCTATACTGAGTGTGAATTCAAGATACTTGAGTTTGCTTGTAAAATGTGTGGAAATTTGATATTCAACCTTCTTTTCTTAATAGTCTGTTTATTTTCTGAACCTGTCTCTTTTAAAGCTAAAGCGTTTTGTAAATCTAGTTTAATTGTATTTCAGATGGTAACAACCTTTCGAGTGGCTCTTCTTCAGGTAAATCTACCTTCTAAAATTCTATCTACTAAAGCCCTTTTATTGCTTTGTTCTGTTTCTACTACTTCAAGATCTCATTACATTTTACATAATTCTAGAAGAGTGCAAGTTAAAATGTGGCTCTTGCTCCCACTCTCTGAATACTTATTTCTGCAAAACTATGGATATAACAGCTAAACTATTAAATTTAGTATAATTATATGAGATATAAAATTCAAATGTAGTGATACTTTTCAGCTTATTACCACTGACTGAAATTTTTTTATGCTCCGAATACAAGAACTTTCAATGTATGAGACAAAATACGTTGTGGAATTTGGAAGTGGTATATAAATTGACTATTAAAACAAGAGAACTTCTTCAGGCTTCCTGTCTCAGACAAAAACAGCATTATCTGTTCTATGAAGTCTGGTAAGTGACGTGATAAAGGGTTGAGACTTTCTGGAGAACTTTATTTAATACATGAAATGAATTCTTCCAGCTACCAAAAACCACCATGTTCTCACAGCAAGACAGCAAAACACTGTGCTAGCTGTGATGCTTGCTATTTTGTTTCTTTACAGTTATTTAATTTTTTCTTCATTTCCACTTTTAACTATGTCTAAGAAATAAAAATGCAAGAAGTAAAACCTCTGAGAGGCCCAAAATTATATTTTCATATGGCTTTTTTCACAAAACCACTGTAACACCTATACCTATAAGCTTAACATCTAGACAAATAAAATCTACTATAATGATATCTGTATTAACAAATGTGAAGAAAAACAGACTGGTAAATATACAAATGTATGTTAGTATCCAAGGATGTCACCATTCTCTCTTTTCAGAAAAACCCTGAGAACACTGTTCAGACGAGATTCACTAGCCAACCAAGTATAGCCCTGTGTGTGGCCAGAAACTTCATTCCTTTCCCATTTTTAGCTTTATCAGTCATGTTTTGATAGGCCATTTCATAGGCCTATTTGTAAGCAGGAGGATCTGGAATCAGATTATTCTTTTAGCCATTCTCAATACTACTTTTCAGAAGTACAGCATCAGGACAAAAATATGGTATCACCATCACAAAGATAAAATATTTTTCTCACTTACAAGGGAACATGAAGAAGATTGCTGTTACTGATACAGATAGAGTTCAAGTGCAACCTTAAATTTTAGAGAAAACTATAATAACTGAAATGCTAAAATTAAAGTAGAACCAATGTATAAAATGTATACCAATGTATAAAAAAAGTGTCTAAAATACCTGAGAATTATAAATATATGCTTCTAAAGTTAATAATTATTCCTTCTTTTTCCTTCCTGAGAAGAAAGAGACACAAATTATAAAAATTATAAAGATTAATGAGCAGAGTAAGAAAATGGTCCATTTTTATATGTTTCCCTGCATTTGGGGGGAAAGAACTGGGGAGAAGAAGAAAAAACAAAAACAAAAACAAACAAAAAAAAAAACTACCATAATTGACTCTTTCTGTAATTCTCTCAGTGTAAAATACACTGTACCACAGGTATCATGCTATTCCTTAACATGGGCAGCTCAGAGTTTAGTTTGGCTCTTCAGCCTAGAACAAGTTGTACATCACACCAGAAAACAGTTCTGACAGTTTCTACAACTTAATTTGTCTTGTGCAAATTTTTTCTGCATTTGAGCTCCTTTGATTTGATTTTGGAAAGTGTAAACCTAGAGAAAGCCACGAACATAATAGACTAAATCTAGCTATGGTGCCACTTATTTTCCCTTTTGCTGACTTACCTGAAGCCAACTTTTCTACCTTTCTACATCAGCAAGAAAGTAACAATAATACTAGAGATACTAAAAAATCTAGCTTAACCCCTTTGAGGAGTCATTATGACCTCCCAGCTGCTATCTGGGGCTACTCTTCTGCAATACTCAGGGTAGGAAACTGGAAATTCCATGTGCATTGACATGGAATAAGCAGACTTTGTAGCAGAACCTAGCATCTACCAGTAACCCTAAAGCCACTGCAGAAATAACAGCAAAACTAAAGATCTCTCAGTTGGAGGTGTTTCTTTGACTTAACTACTGTGTCTAGTATGTAACCAAGCATTTCCATCACTAGAACTTTAAGAAGAAACAACACTGCAGCAAGGCAAAATTCAGGCCAAATAGTTCCCCTCACAAAATGCCTACACAGAATAAATAGGAAAATTATTTGCCTTGCAAGTATATTGGTTTATGAAAGAAATTCTTTTTCAGATATGTTTTTTGCTGGAGTACACCATTTTCACAATGTAATTTGTATTCATGGGACAGGGAATTTGCAACCATAATCAGAGCTGGTAATAAAGTCTTTTGGGACCAAGCTTCTTTCTTTCTTTCTTTCTTTCTTTCTTTCTTTCTTTCTTTCTTTCTTTCTTTCTTTCTTTCTTTCTTTCTCTCTCTCTCTCTCTCTCTCTCTCTCTTTCTCTCTTTCTCTCTCTCTTTCTCTCTTTCTCTCTCTCTTTCTTTCTTTCTCTCTTTCTTTTCTTTCTTTCTCTCTCTCTCTCTTTCTTTCTCTCTCTCTCTCTTTCTCTCTTTCTCTCTGTCTTTCTTTCTCTCTTTTCCTTTTTTTCCCTACCACAAAATTCTATATGACAGTATTTAGTGTTTAAAAAGTGACATTTTTCATTGATGTTAACATTTCTGATTTCAACACTTCAAAAAACAATAGTCTTGCTTTTCCATATAAGGACAGCTTTTTCCTACACTTTTTTTCTCTTAACTATCAAAACATTTTATTTTTTTATCAGTTTGAAACCTTCATTTTATTTCTAATTCTTTAATATAAAAAATAAAAATTAAAATTAAAAGCAAAGCAATTTTGAAGACTAAGCTTTTGTCTTAATCTTGAGAACAATAAAATAACACCTCTTCAAAAATACATTTGGGGTAGAAAGTCCAATAAGTCCTAAATGTAAGAGGAGACACAGCACTAGTTTAATAGATCAAGTTCATCTTATCTTTCTAACATGGAAACAAATATTTTCAAGATATTTTCATTCAGTGCCATTCTTTAGGTCTGATGTTACAGATTATTGTATTTTCTAAGAATAAGAAGTTCCCTATCTCTGTAAAGACTTCAGATTCCTGGCAGAGAAATCAAGTGATGACATGTATGAGTATATGTCATGAGTATAAAAATTTTTATACCTTGAAAATGCTGAAGGAGCTTAAATATTTCAGGCTCCATGAATTCTAAACATCTTCCCCTCTGAGCTCCCAAAATATGAGACAGAATACAAAAGTCTTTCAGAAGGCAAGGAAAGTCTATTTGAATTTGGGGCTTTGGAAATAACTACATCTGCCAACAGTTTAGAAGTGTCCTTTCTTATCGGAAAAGTATTTTTGACCAAGCTCTACTATTTAGAAGGTCTAAGGGTTAGCTGGGCTGGCACAGGGAATAAGTACAACCAGCAGATTAAGTCAGTTGCAAATTACTTATTTAGTGAAGCAAGGTTTGAAAGGAGGAGGTGGAAGCCTGGAATTGTGACTCAGCCTCAACAGCTTTCTTCAATTGCTTTTAGCAAGCCACAATTATACAAATCTCTGATTCAGCATTAAGAAGAACTTGGCAATCTAGTTTGCAACTTCAATAATACATAAGAATTTACATCTCAAAAATATTTTTGTCTTATAAGCTAAGATATATATGGTCTGACATCATACCTACAGAGTGCGGGTGTTGTCCACTTTCAAACAAAATATTTTACCCTATACACAATATGACGGGAAAGCTTCTGCTGAGCCTTTTGGTCTGTACTGGGACATCAGGCCTGGGGCCATGAATTTTGCTTCATGCCAAATTGTATTATTACTGAGCTAAGCAAGGAAGTGTGATGTAAATTAGATAAATTCTGAATGGGCCTCCTGACAGCTTTAGCAGCAGAGCTGTAGGAGAGCACTGAATGTTCAACACATCAATGAGTTCATTACCTATAACCTGAAGAATAACAGCAATACTCCTCCCCCCTACAGAATATTCAAGTTAAAAAGCAGGAACTAGGGATGTTAATTTTTAGAGCATTTATTAGCGTTTACAGAAGAGTAGCAAAAAGTTACTCATTTAAGTTTTCTATTTCATGCCCAAGAATCTTAGCAAGAAGCAAAATTCTCACTGAGTATTCTTTCCAGCTCAACTGCAGTTAGACAGCTGAATCAGTAATGCAGTATAACATGGTCATATTAACTTGGTGAAGCAGAAAAGACCATCTGCACCACCATGAATATAACTAAAAGAGAGTGCCAGCAAAAAGCCTTTAACAGTGTCTAATGCCAGAACATCTTATGAATGGTATTTTTAAGATCAATGTAATTGATAAAAAAAGGGGTTTTACTATTTGTTTCACCTTTGATTCAATATGCTTGCAGAACTGATTTATAAAGTGCTTCACAACTCAATTCTATGTACATTCAAAATAATAAAATCATTTTGTATGTACTTCACTGATTTCAACTGTGAGCAATTTGTTTAAGAATAGTCAGAAGAAATATGCATGCTCCCAAGGTGCACTCTACTGAATATCAATGTGCGGATTGAAAATTGGCACCTTTAGGTGCTGTTTGCGAATCTGATATACACTGTATTGTTGTGTTAGTTTATGCATTAGAGTAATAGATTCAGTACTAAACATTTGGAATACAACAAGCTTTTTCAGAAAATCCCTGACTGAAATTGTCAAGAAAATAAAAGGAAGATTGTTACATGGAATCACATTTTAACACAGGAAAAAAAAGGTTGGAATAAATGGCCAGATTTCTCAATATCAAGATGGTGTCAGTAGGCCCCTCCCCACCCACCCACCCCACCTCCCCTAACCCCACCCCCTCTTTACTCTTAAGTACATTTTCAAATATTAGGAGAAAGAAGGTGAAAATGGCAAAGTGAGAGTTTACTGATGTCATAAAATTAATCAGAATATGATATGAGTATGATATGAGATTTACAGGCATATCCTACACTATCAGAGGTCCTACAATGTCTTGTACATGGACCTGCAGTGACATCTAGTATAACAACTTTTGGCTTTATACAGCTTTTACTTTAAGAGCAGGGCACTCTCACTTTTATCTATTTAAAATTCAAAAGAAATTCAATACCAAACACATAGGATATTCATTTGAAAATGTTAAATGATTTAGCTGTCATCAATTGCTCTGTTTTAGCTGTTGTGTACAGGCATCAATAAACGAATATTTCAAAACATTTCAATATGAAGTGATAAATCTCAGTGCTAAATATTAATGAACATTAGCTAGCTTCAAACACTGGTGATTAAAACTGACTGAATAAGATAAAGAGGAAACAACAAGACATTTGTGACATCCTTTGAGAAATCATTTTGATATCAATCCACTGTAGAAAACACTCATGTTGCAGAGTGATAAGTGACAAGAAGGGATATACATGGGGATATACAAGGGGTATTAAGTCAAACCATTTACATGACATCTGACCATTTTAGTTACGTTATTTTGTTATTGTTTCTTCAGCACTTCTAAGTCTTTTACTGTGTTTTCTCTGCATCAGAAGAGCCTATGCCTCCATCTGAGTTGTATTACACAATATTTGCTGACTGGTTTTGCTTTGTTTAGGAAATGGTCTGTCGATTTTACATTTCTCCCCCTAGGTTTTCTTTGTTTGTGCTATTTTATTTGCATTTGACACTTCCTCTCAGTTGCTGCTATTTCTTACCAATACACAAAGTTGTGCACTTTCCATAAACTCAGAATAACCTGCTTTATCATTTAATATACCAACCCAGCTAAGCCTACATCCATGCAAATGCATGAAAGATGCTTGTATTGTACAGGTGCAACTGAGGGTTGAGAGCTATGTTGCTGTTTTTTCCTGCATTTTGTTTCTCTTCAGAAGGTCAGAAAGGACCGTGAGATTAGATAACTTTATCTCTTTTAAAACAGACTGTAGAATCAATGCTGTTATCCTTATTCAGAGCTTAGTAGCTTAGGTTTGACTGAAATATGAAATCCTCTAAAAAATGAGTTTAACAAACCTGGAATTTAACAAACCTCCACAATTAAACATTCCATTGCAAAACTATTAGGAATACATCTATCATTTATAGCTGTCATTATGCACTCTATGTGTGAAAAAGCAGGTTTTCATGACAAGAAACTAATGCTCATCTTTTCTTTTCTATATGTATTTACACATAGGCAAACTTTTTGGATTCCGGTTACCTGGATTGAGACTTTTAACATACAGAAAGCAGTCCTTACCACAGGAGGACCCTGATGCAGTGATAATCGACTCATCCAAGCACAGTGATGACTCAGTAGCTATGAAGCACTTTAAATCACCTACAAAAGAAAGTTGTAGTCCTTCAGAAGTGGATGACACAAAAGCACTGATTCAGCCCACTAAATGTTCGCCTTTGGTTAATATATCAGGACCTCTTGACCATTCATCGCCTAAACAGCAATGGGACAGACTTTACCCTGACATGATACAGACAAGCAATCCACTAACCCATTCCAGATCAAAGGAAAGCATTTGTAGCATACGGAGAGCGTCTTCAGTACATGACATAGAAGGCTTTAACGTCCATCCCAAGAACATTTTTAGGGACCGTCATGCAAGTGAAGGTATGGTAGAAAAATCAGTCAGTATTCTATGATTCCCTAAGAAAGGGATTATTACAATTTTTCATAGTAACTATGATTACTTTGTAAGCAAAATTAAATATAAACATCTATACATATTCAAAGTCAAACTGAAAATATTCAGGGCCCAAATATGCCAGGTCTTTTTTGCCCTAAATACTGCTGTTCACGTCTAAGCAGACCAATGAAATCATGGGGTTGCTCTATGAGTACCAATCAACCTTCTATACAGGGATATAGCGAAACTGGGTCCAACATCTGTAAAGCTAATTTTTGTATTTGGGAAAACAAATCAGCTGATCAAGCTAAATTGCATGCACGTTCTGGCCCCTTACTCACGTAAATTAGAATATCTTTGATTGTATGAAATCTTACTTCAGAACTTGATAAGTTTATTTTTCTTAAAACTGTGATATGCTCATTGTATATTCACTAACTCAACACAGAGACATACTTTTTCTCTCACATTGGAGAAAAATTTTCTCAGCAACTCCAGTGAAATACTTGGTACAATGCTTGGTGAAATACTTAGTGAATTATTTAGTGTAAAATTAATGTGTCATTTTCTCTTTGTGTTAGTATATTCTTGCAACCTAATTATGCAAAGCATAATGGAGCATGGGCCATGTTTCTTCATGTTGGAGATAGAGTTTGAGAAACTTGGAAAACAGCTCAACAGAGGTTTGGAAGCCCTGTGGTGAATGGAGAAGCACCTTTGAAACTGGCTTTCCCAGAAAAGTGCCACATATACAATGCTATTAGAGCTACTGATAGTATAATTTATTAAATTGCATAATTTTTATTCAAGCTAGATGACAAGTAATGTATGTGGAATATTTTTAACAATTCAGAAACTTGTCATGGAAGACTGTACAGATTTATAAAATAGCAAGAAAATTGGGTTTTATTTTCAGTGATTATGGGTTTTTCTCCTATTTATTAACCCCAAGTGTAAAATTCATTTAAGTTCTCCTGCCTTTTGGAAGGTCTGTAGCAAGAGGTCATTGCTTCTGTACATCTCCCAAAATATAAATCTGAATGCTCCTCTTCCACCTAGATTAACTCGTACAACAACAGAACTGATTATTCCTTAAACTCTTCCTATATTAAATATAATTCAGAAATGCTTCTTTTCTCATTTTTTTTGTTTCTTTTGGACTCTGATTTTTTCAGCTCAAATGAACCTGAAAATTCAATTAAATCCATTCCAAACCATGCCACTTTGCTATATGTCACGTTCGCATTGAAGCCAAGATTTCAAGATAAGGATCTGGAGCCAAAAGTCTCCAAAGTTCAGGCATGTCTTTTGGAACATTACATATGCTTCATCTTGGTTTTAACTTCCCCAGATATATAAATCCACCTTTCAAATAAAACACATTTAAAGATATCTATTTTGTCAGTTTCTATTTTCAGAACTTATTCTGATTAAAGCACTTCCCAGCTGGTTATTAATTATACTAAGAAAATGTGTAAAAATAAGTTTGATTATTAAGTTTCTTGGGTCATGATGATACAAAGCTCATGCAGAAATTGCCATATAATTTAATATTGGCTTCATAGAGAAGCAAAAATTTCTAGCTCCATTACACTGAGTAAAAGAAATTTTATTGTGAGAAGTAAACATTCCGTTTGAATTCCTATGGCCTCTTACATGATGTTATCATTTACAATGTCAATAGATAAAATAATGCCACTCTGGTTTCACTTTGCATAAACTACAAAATAGTAGAGAATCTGTCCCTCACTTTAGATCATACATACACGTTCTAAAAAAGTACAGCAGAAGAGAGGATTGTTCTCAGAATTGCACTATTATTATTAACCATCTTTGATGCCATCTGCTTCAACCCATATTAGAATTTGGCACCTTATGCTGAAAAGATGTTTAAATTTAGCTAGCAAGTAACATCCTATATGCCTTAAGGAATAGTATGCCATAAACCCCTATTGTTACTATAAAATTATCTGTGTAAGTTAGGCAACCAAGATTCAGCCTAAATCTTCTTCTCTGGACTCACAGATTCTGAGCAGAAGCTTTAGATACTATACTGAAGAAGGTAAAGCCCTAATTAAAGGTAATTACAGTAAGTAAAAGCAAACTACGGTCCCAGTGTGGCCTAGTGGCAATTATACACTGAAAGGTATTACATTAAAAATGATAATTTAGGATTTTATACTCATTTCAGTGTACTCAATTGAATTCAATCTTAAATTTACCTATTTGACAGTAAAAGCAGCAGGACTTCCACCCTGTGCCTGAAACCTGGCCAAGCTCTTGTCATCTGAAACACCATCAGTCTACATTTTGCAGGCCATGCACTTCAGGAATTTTACTGTCTTCAGAAAGGGTCCTCAGTGACACCTCTGCGACCTTCTGAAAAAATGGTTTTGAGCCTAACTCAGCCTACAAAACCTGCAGTGCTGCTGTGGACTCCTGGCACAGGCATCAGGCTGACAGAAGAAAAGCAGTGTCCCACACCCCCATTGAGCCTGGCACTGTGTCCCACACTCCCTGGCTCTCGGGAAGCTGAGGGAAGCCAGAGAGGCAGCAGGTGCCACACGGTGCCACACACACACAGGACATCACCTCCAATTCCCTTCACAGGAGAAGGCCGCAGCCTTTCTCTTGAGCAGGCTCTCAGCATGGACAGGACAGACGGGGCTAGAGCAAGCTGAGGCCTCAGGGGCTGCCTCTCAGAGGGGGGAAACCGTGCATGAATGTCAGCTTGAGGCCCACTGATATGTGCAAGCTGGAAAGCTGGTCATGGCAGATAGCAGCACACGGGGGCATGGCAGTACCCTGGGCCTGGCTCCACTCTCCTGCCAGCCCCTAGAGCCTCTCACACCCAGCAAGCCGCTGCAGCCAGGAAGGGTGAGCTACCATGAAGGGAGGGCAGCCTGTGGGTCATGTACATCCTTGAGTAGGTAGAGGTGGTGTCTACCTACGGACACATGCAGCTTCTTTTAATAACAATGATGATAAATGGTGCATTGCTTTCTCTGTGAAGGGGTTTTCTCTCAGGTGAGGATTCAGTGCTGGGTGTGTTTGTGATGAGCAGCTCTCAGGTGTACCTCATGAAGATACCTTTGTCACTGTTACCTCACGCAAAGGCACCTAAGCCCTGAAGAAAGGTTTAAGATACATCTTTCTCCTCAGTCTTTCCTCAGTACTTACTCAGAAAAGGTGTTTCTCACCTTGCTGCCATGGTAAAACAAGTTCTGGGAAGCTTAATTCCGGTGTTGAGACCTGGGTGGGCACAGGGCCTGCACTAGGCTGCCTGCTCACCCATCGGCATGTGCAGCCAGCCTGGGCCACCCACAGCCGCAGGTGCCTCAGTCTCACATAATTACATGTGCAAAGTTATTGTTCAGTGGCTTGGCTATTTTGATTTGCAACCCAGTGCTAGACTTGTGGAAAAACTATTTGAGCATTTAACTATTAAGGCAACTAAGTTAGGGCCAATTCTATGCATTTTTTGCAGCACCAGAAGATCAACTCCAAACAGTTTTAAAGGTTATTTTTCAATTGCCAGAGTGACTTCATCTTGACTAAAACTTTATGTAATATAATCAAGGAGGAGCAAAACTATTTTAATTCCAACCACGCATATTTCGAACCAATATTTTCTGCTTTTTTTCTGATGTAGATTTTAGTTGTCTGTTTTTCTCTCTTTTCCTTTGCTTTTATTATGCTGAAAACCAGACAATGGTCGCAATGTCAAAGGTAAAGTATACATCTAGACATTCCAGTGTTTCAACAGCCACACTTTTTGGCATGTTACTTTGCCTGCTCTATGAAATGTTCAAATGCAACATTCTCATATTGGCCTCCCAAGGGCTAGCTGCATTAGTGAAATTATGTATGTTGAACATGTAGTTATTCCCTTAACTATTGTCTCAAAGTACTAACTACCAATCCCTGGAAAAAGTGAAGGCATAGTTAAACAGTTACTGAATTTAAGTATCTTTTAATTCAAAATTAAAGGGAGGGACATAGAGCAAGTTGTTTAACTCAGTGCTGTTGTCTATAAGCAGGCAAAACTTCTGTAGAAGCAATCAGGAGTTTTACCTGTGAAAGGATGTAAAGGTGGGCTGGTCCAGTAATAAATAATCTATTGTTATAAGTTGGTTACTTTTCAGACAACTATCTCTAAAATAAAATAATTGGTAATTAGGAGCCTTGTGGAAGTATCTTCACTTATTCCTCTTTTGTCTCCTTAAAACCAGTTTCACGTTCCTGGATGGCAGGGGGTATGGTTTCAAGCTTCCTGTAGTATTAAAATGTGCATGCACGAATTTCATTGCCAATTTCATGTTTAAACAATTTTTAGTGCAGTTACAAAATTGCTTCTATTTCACCAGCACTGATACATCTTTTAAAAGCATTTTGGATATCATTCTTTAGTAACTACTCCATTTCTAAAAAAAAAAAAAAAAAAAAAAAAAAAAAAAGTGTTCAGTTTAATTGTGATATTTTAGCTATGTCTGAAAACTGATTTGTGATTTCATGCATGAAACAAAAAGTGTGTGTACTTGGTAAAGTTGTCTTTCTAAACTGCATGCACTGCATGAGCCAGATTCTGTAGAGCAAGTCATGGACTCCAAAATCATTGCATTTGCTTCACGTGTATGTTGGCAAAATTTTGGGGAAGAAATGCAGTCATTGAACTGTAAAACAGCTTTTATATTTACTGCTGGTGAAAGATGATGGATTGACAGCTCAGAGTGAAATCATTTCCTAGTACATTGTGTAAGCAGGAACAATGGAATACAACCAAAAAAATGGGGAGCTCAGACTTTACCTTAAAGAATCTCCTTTGTAGGCAGAAGCCTGTCATTCTCCCTGCTTATTCAGTTCTTGGCTGCTCCACTGAAAGTGTCAATCAGAGTGCCAATTAGTGTCAATTGTGATTTATTATGGCCCTCTTTTTCTGCTTCCTGCTATGAGAATATAGGAAAAGTCCACTAGCTGTCAAGTAGCAGCTCAATTGCTGGCATCATGGTCTGTACTTAAGCTAGTAATGTCTTTTAATTAATTACCATTATCAATGAGGTACATATATCTTTCACTACTTTTTAAAGCAAAAGAAGGTGTGTTGTTGTTTCTTTTTTGTTTTTTGTTTTTTTTTTAAAGGTTCTATTTTCATGTGCAATTAACTTAAATATGGTATTAAATACTAGGGCATGGATATTAGGTAGAGAAGGAGAGAGTAATTCCATTTTGAAAAGAAGCAATTAAAGATTTAAATCACAGAAAGCAAAACTTCAATGCAATGTAAGCATCTTTAAAGTTACCATCAAAATAAAATAAAATAAAATAAAATAAAATAAAATAAAATAAAATAAAATAAAATCTGCTATCTAATTGTAGATGCGTGCACCTAATTCTCCTAGTTTCCTTTTTATCTTAGGGTTCTCTAGGAATCAAGAATCTTGTCCATCTTACAGATTGGCCAACTTGATACCCCACTAATGTTTAAGCCAATTCAATATTCAGAAAGGATTAATTGCTACTGTTGTGTAGAGCAGTAGAGTTGAAGAAATGCAACCAAGCGCTGCCCATCACACACCAGCCCCTCTGCTAATTTCTGAGGTGACTGTGACTGCTTTATTTTGAAGACCACTTTTTAATAGAAACAACTAGATGGTGGAAAGATGGATTCAGGTCCTACCTTAGCTATTTCCTTAATAGTGTCATCAGTACCAGGCTTTCCAGAATTCCTTATGGGAGAAAGGCAGTGAAACTTTTCTAGCCTTTCCCTTTCCTTGTGAAGCTGTTCTACAAATAATAAACGAGGTTCGTTGGTCTAAGGATGAAAAGAAAGACTAATTTTTGTAGTTTAGTGGCTAGAGCACTCACCCATAAATTTTGTTTATCCTACATCAAATGATCATTAGACAGAAAGAATCGTGAGAGCAGAAAAACTAGATTGAACTCTCCCAAGGGGAGCACCTTAACTGTTGACCTAGGGCATTGGGCTCTCCCCTTGTAATCTTGAAAATTTTTCTGCGCAGTGTCACAATTTGAATTGGTATAGCGAAGGATTTTTTTTCTCTGGCCCAGATTGCTAAATTATCATGAATTTAGGAGGTAGAAACCATGTACATGAATTCTTTTAAGCTAGGAAAGCAAATGAAAAGATAGCTTCCTCAGCAAGCATTCTCAGCCAGGTTCAAGAGAAGCCCAGCCCTCACCTGAAGAATTTGTCAGACAAACAAAAAAGAAAAAGAGGCCTTCTTAGTAACTGAAAAGATAAAACATAGGTACTGACCTTCATAAAACAGCCTTTGGGCTCTGAGTCCCTAGTAAAACCTCTGGCGGTCAAGGTACAGAATGCAGCGCTGCCTGGATTTCCCTACAACTAGCTTCAGGCAGCTGGTTGCTTTGGATAGTACTCCTTCACACACTGCATATACAATCCAGCTGTTCCTCTGTTGACTCAAAATTACCCCATAGCCTAATTCTGTCCCACTGGCTGTTCATGAATTATAGCAGCAGTTTTTGTTTCCTTCCTAGGAATTAAAAAAAATATAAATAAATAAATAAAAGATTTATAATACAGTGAGGCTCTTGTGTGGATCTGAGAAAAAACCTTCAATACCATAATATAGACAGTGTAACTGACAGCAAGACCAGGAGTTTTTCTTAAATCCATAACTGGAATTAATTGTTATTGTCTAAACATACATGCAGCTCCGTTTTCCAGTATTTTTCTCAAAACCAAACTTTCCTTAATATATTTTTGTTTTCTGGATAAACTGTATGATGAAAGTACAAAATAAGTATACTGTTCAATTATATCGCATACTTGTTGTACAAATCACTGTACAATATTGAAGAGAATAATTATAATGGATATGTACCTCATGAAGTATGTGCACTCCATATTTTTTGTTTATCATGTCTCATTAAAATAATGCAAGATGTTTAAGTGTATATTAAATAATCCATTAATATGCTACATGTGTTTGTTGCTATTATTTTCAATATTTTTTGTTCATAACAATTAAACCAATATATTTTGTGAGTTTCTGATACTTCAAAATTATAAGGGCAGTGTTAGACATAGGTTAATATGGAGTTGATGGATCAACAAGACTAGGATAGGGGTCTACTTAGTTTTACAGTTTACCAAAAGGCATTTTTGAACTAACTATCCTGGAAGCATGAGCAGTACAGATGTGATAACAGAGCCTTTGCTCAGATGAGACACTTATATAATTGTGTGTCCTATTTGAGCTTGTATAAACAAAATGAGAATATAGTGTTTATACTCAGCCAGAATTACCATGGGGCATACCTGGTAACATTAAAACAAGTAAGAACAGTCCCGTTATGTACTTTGCAATCCACCGACGTTATAGAAAATATTGGAGGCTTTAAGTACAGAAAATTTCATATTAATATCCACCAGTGAATTTGATTCTCATTAGCAGTAGAATTATTTTTAAAGTGCCAATAATTTTTACTATTAAAAAATAGCATAGTAAAAAATAGTTTTTAAGTACAGTTCTAACATATCCCACATAAATATTAATGATAACTTATCTGCATTTGTCAAATACTAAATATGTGTTCTGATTTTTCAGGGCCTTTTAACCATATCAAGTCAAGTTTGTTGGGATCCACATCGGATTCAAATCTCAACAAATACAGTACAATCAACAAAATTCCTCAACTCACCCTGAATTTTTCAGATATCAAAAGTGAAAAAAAATCTTCATCTCCTCCTTCTTCAGAGAAAGCAATTATTGCACCTAAAGTGAAAGATCGAACGCACAATGTAACAGAGAAGGTTACCCAGGTAAGGTAATGCCGATTGTGCTCATTTTCAGTTTCATGAAGCTGATTATCAATTTAGTCATTAGATTGTTACCCATTTCACAAATGGTTTGGATTTCTTTGAAGGGTTTGAGCTGTTGTTTACTGTGCCTCCAATTCAGTTGCACATGACGTAGTTTACAATGCTGGATGATACCGCTTAACTTCTGCTTAAATATGTGTTACATTTCAAATAGGAAAACAAATCAAACTTTTCAGTTTTAGTTTTTAACTAGGAAAAAGCTGTATTATGCACTGGGTGCCCTGAAGAAGTCTATTAACTTCAGTGATTCCTGCCAGTTAAAAATGTGCAAAGATCTTCACAATAAAGTAGTATCCTATTCAATGTTTTCTGAAATTTTCTTTGTTAGTTTTCACTTACTTAGGTTTCTGATACATAAAGGACAACATAGACATACTGCCATTCATTTCTAGCTAGTGGTTTGCAGGAGTGGATTTTTATTCTTTAAGCAAACAAAAGAATCCAATGGATATTTCAGTGTTTTGGTTGTTGTTGTTTTTTTCCCTTGTTTACTAATGAAATTAAAATATCACAAGGATATTTAATGTCTATCAGCTGTATACATATTTACACATTGCGTATAGTATTATTAACTGGCTTGATGGATGCAGCTTTTCTTTAGATGCTTCCAGGAGGGTTTCTTGGACAGCCTAATGCAACTTTGTCTTAATCAAAGCAAATTCCACAGGTTTACATTATATGAATAGTACAGTTGCTGATGTCCTCTGATATACCTAGTGGGTAGAGTGCTCTGGGGATATAAATGAAAGGTTCAAATCGATTTTAAGTGTGAGCTAAGCTCCAAATTTCATCACCTTCATGTGTTTCATCAAGCCTGTGGCAATTCTGAAGTACAGAAAGGTCTGTTTCTAAGTGGATGGAAATTTTAAGGTATAAATAATGTAACCTTTTATTTAGTTGTGTACCTAGGGAAAAGATTTCAGGGTTGCATATTTTTTGAATACCTAATTTTCAACTACATTTTTAAGGGCTTGATCTTAAGCAAATTATTCAGCTAAATTCAGAATCGGTATTAGATTAGTAATGTAATGACATATAGAAGGACAGGCTGCCAATAAAAAAAAAAAAAAAAAGGAAAAAAAATACAAATTAAGATACATCAGTCTATATCCCAAAAATCTTCTACAGTCTCAGTAAGTAGAGGTTCATTCCTCAAGTCTGTCAATAGGCTGACAGACTGAAGAAGGTTGGAAGTGCATTCTAATATAATGCAGGTAGAGATTCCATAAGGAAAATCTTGCTAGAAATAGCTTTTGCCTTGCTACTGACCTGCCTTCCCTAGACCAAACTGCAGCTTCTTGATATTACTGCTATGCCAGATAGTTTCTGTGTTTCTTCTCCCTTTGACAGATACAAAAATGAATGTATTGTACACCCTCCTAGAGAAGATAAAAAGTTCTATCAGTTCTATCTTGAGATCAGTTAGTGCCTAAAATGTAATTGGATTTTTATCTTTCATATATTTTGCCTGTGATAGCCAACGTGAATCTGCAACCATTGTACTTTCTTCCCTGGTCAATTGTGAAAGATTTAATCTCTTCTGGATCCATTTTGATATTTTTCAATTATTCATTGCAGTTATACATAGAAAACTTTCACAGATAATATGACAAAGAGTCAAGTTACATTAAAAAGACAAATTTTTATAAGTTATATAAGCACGAGTCAAACTTTTTTTTTTTGTTTGGTTTGTTTTTTCACAAAATTCTGACTAGATATTTAGAGCCAGAGTGCCAAGCTTCTATTTACTAATGACACTATTATGGGAAAAAAATATTTAAAATCTATTTTTATTCTTCAAACTTCATACTATGAGACATCAAGTAGAAATTGCTTAGATCAGCTAAAACGTCTCAAAAACATATTATCAAAACATTGATAATAAGTACATTTGAAATTGAATTTGAATTACTCTATAAAATCTTTATGCCACAAAACACTTCCAATTTAATTTGACATTGCTTTATGTCCTTTTCCAGAACTATATCAACCAATATGCAGAGTAGCAATTTGTGTAGCAAATTGTGATAATGTCAGTCATCATAATTGGAATTACCCACAGCTGTTCCCTTCTCTCTTACTATATTAAGTTATCAATGTTTTTAGTTGTTGCTCTGGCCTGAACTGTAGGATTAGGTACAAGAAGAAATTTCTAGGAGGTATAAAGAAATGTAGATCGACTGAAGTTGATCGTACTATATCTATGTGCATCAGTCAAATATCTAGCACTTATTTTTGAATTAGATTAAAAAACACATTTAGACATTAAAAGTTTTAGTGCTGTTTATGTTTCTAATATTGTTGTTTCAATATGTTTTATTAGAATCAGCAAGGTAAATGTTCCACTGCATGTCTGCCCATGTCTTTAAAATCTAAATCTCTTATTAAAACTTGTAATAGAACCATAGATCCATTTTGTATCTGCAGAGGAGTGGAAAAGTGGCTTAGGAAGGTTTCAACACAGCGTTGAGAATAAAATATGGCAGAAACGTCAGATGAGATAATTAGGATATGCTCATGCTGGCACAGTCCTCTGATATGTAATTCTGTGAAACAGCATCAAAAATGTACAGGAGGGAATGTGACCTGTTAGACCTATAGGATGATATCAGTAGAAAATTAGTATAAAATGGCCATGGTAAGTTAAAAGGTCAATGTTAATCAGAGTAGTGACATTCTGAAATAGTCTTCCAATAGAACTTAAAGCAGGAATTCCAAATGTCTTTAGACAGAGCCTGAGAAATGTAGTAAAGGGATAGATAACATGATGTGCTTTTCTGGCATTGCTGGACTCAGTGACATGGAAGGCCACTTCCAGTCACATATGGCTCCATTCAAACATCTGTCCATCCCTCTCTTTGTACTCTTCACTGTATCTCTCTCTCCTTCTCCTTACCTCAGCATTGCTGAGAAATTTATTCCTGCTTCTATAACCTCACATGTCCACTACTGTGGATTCTTTCAGTCTGCAACCCAAAATATGCAAATGTGGACTCTGGTACCACACTAAGGTATCACTGAGCCTCACAGTTGGATCACTGCACTCTGGATTTTCTATAATGTAATATTTCAGTAATAGCAAATGAAGTGTCAGCATCCTAGGATCCAAGAATGATTTCTTCTTTCCAAAGATAACAGCTGTATGACTTCTATCATATTCACAAGCTGAAGAAGGAATTTAGATAGTGAAAAAGGAGGGGTTATCACATAGCTACCTTCACAAGGTAGAGGAAGAATAATTACTGAAATAATAGAATAGTCATGGCTATTCTGTATAGATGGATGAAAACATTTCCAGAAAGAGAGACAGGCAAATACAGTTCTAGTGGAATAAATTAGGAGCAGACAAAATTTTGGAAAAGAATTTCACAAGAACAGAAGCTGTGGGACAGTGGCTGATATTAGAGTGAAACAATACAAACTTTGAAATGCAGGTAGAGAAAATGAGATTTCATTGGAGATTTTCAAAATAAATAAAATTCTCAACATCATACCTTTTAAGTAATATGACAAGTAAATCTAATCAGAAAGAGCTAAGTTATAAATTCTACTGTCAGGACCTTTTGGATAGGGTCTTGCTACTTAACAGGAGAATTCAGGACATTATGTAGAGATTAAAATTCTAGTTACTATATAGCTTGCAGTAACACTTTTGTCACTTACTTCACTGCAATCTATATAGTAACTACAATCTACATAATGTCCCGAATGTCCTGTGGTTTTAACTGACCAAAACTCCTCTTGTCATACAGAGTAGCATACTACTGCATGCCTATTTCTGCATAACATTGGCTTTTACTGAAATGAGTTTACCAGCAGTAGCTGCCAGATAGTCCTTTTTTAATAATTGGCATTCTTATATCCCGATGTAGATACCTGCCACTAAAATTAAAGTTACATTTCCATTTACACTTGACTAAAATGCTTTTTTTTTAATGTTTCACATTATAATTTCCAGAGGTGCTTGGCTAGAAGAGGCTCTTCTAGAAGAGCCTCGACTTCCTTCAGGGGGACAGTCCCATGTCTGCACTTTTATGCACTGACAGGTTCAGATGGGGTCCTGACACTGATTGCTAGAAAGAGACAAGTCTTCCCAGAGGCACAAAAAGTAGACTTTTGTTAAAGAAAGCAGTGGGGCAAAAAATTGACATCTGTCCTTTAATGTTTTTGATGAGTTTGTAAAGAGGACTTCTGGCCTTAAAATTACAGCACATAGGGGCAAAACAGTTAGCATTTTTATCTTTTTTATATTCAACCTTTTTTTTTTTTTTTTAAAGTGTTCTTACACATCCGGTTCATGCTGATATATGGCCCAAAGCTGAGAACTCCATTGTGAACAGACTCAGAGCAATGTGAAGATGTTTGTACCTATACTTAATTTCAAAGACAGAATTTCTGAATACTCATAGATTGGCAACAACACTGGCAACAAACAATGATTCATCCAGTTAATAAATGTATAAATTACTGATCCCTTTACTGTGTTCTTTAAACAAGGATGTCTTGTGGCCCCTCATCATTAACGCTCAGTGACTATCAATCCCCTGAAATTCAGCAGTTTGTTCAGATACAGCATGTGGTTGAAAGACTCAGCATGTATCTGTTGATTATAATTTGTCAAAATAACTGACTTATGGGAAAGTAGAACTGTGATCTTCAAACTTCTTGGAGATAATAATTTTCAAAACAGTCCACCCACCTGAAATATATATAATACCCTGTTTACATGGCTGATCAAATGATAAGTATGTACCTTAACTGGATACTCGGCTGATTTGAGGATTGTGTTCTGATCTGCAGACATGCTGATCGGTCACAGCTCTTCTGAAAGTGGAGTTCTCGGTGTATGGCAGGTCACACATGAAGTGATAGACCTTGTAGTATTATTCCATGTTTTTCTAATCTGGCCAGACTCTGTTCTGTCAGTCCCAGAAGATTAA